ATTTATTAAATAGGCTATCTTTCCTCCAGTGAGGGTGTTTGGCTCCTTTGTCAAAGATGAGGTGGCTGAGTATGTCTGGAATTGTTTCTGCATCTTCTAATCTATTCCACTGATCCTCGGATCTGTTTCTTTGCCAGTACCATGCTTTTGGGTTAGTGAATCTTTTAGATGGATAATTTGAATATTTAGAACAGTCTTTGTGATGTTTGCCATCAGAGTGTGTTCATTTTTCCTTTCCCTGTTTATTCTTAATCAGAATTGTCTGAGGAGAAGAGATGCTGGTTTGTTGAATCAGTTGCAAGAACTCGACAAGCAGATCAGTGACCTGAGACTGGATGTAGAAAAGACATCCGAAGAGCACCTGGAGATGGATAGCCGGCCCAGCTCAGGTGAGTGAGCCAGACTAGATTCTGTACTCATGGGTGGCTCCCTGTGGTTAGCATTTCCAGACCTGCAAATGGCAATGAGCTTTGTTTGTAATGCAGAGAGAATTTTAAAAAGCAGTCTCCTCTTCATTTGCATGAAATAAAGTCAGAGAACAAAATTTTTAATAATGAGATTGATCTGATTGGAGTCTCCTGAGTTTAAAAAAAAAATACAAGTTTCTATTGAGATTTCTGGAAGAGCAGTCCTCCTTTGAAACTTGAGAAACTGTGCTAGAAAATTAGTCACACTTCAACTTCCTGCGGCCACTTCACAAGTTTTTTTTTTTTTTTTTTTAACCATTTGGATCCTTAGGTTTTTTTTTTTTCTTAAAGTTATTCCTTTGGAAACATTTGTAATAGAGACGAGGCTCTTTCAGGTCTACGTTTCTTTCCTACACATAACTTAAAGCTGGGAGGGTCAATGTAAAGGTGAGAGTAACTTTGAAGTTACTCATAGTTATGTGCTCTTTGCCTTTTCATAAAGATTTTTTGAAGTAAAACTGTAAAATCAGGACTCTAAAATTCAGTGAAACATAACTTGCCCCCTTAAACAAAATCACCTACCTAGAGAGTTCACCTGTTTTCCTTTCAAGCATGAATGTGTATGATTCCTTGACACGATCTTAATTCCAGCTGTCTTCATTTGTAGGGTTTTATGAACTGAGTGATGGGGCCTCAGGATCCCTTTCCAATTCCTCTAACTCAGTGTTCAGTGAGTGCTTATCCCGTTGTCATTCCAGCACCTGCTTTTGCAGCCCCCTGGAGGCAACCTTGACTACCTCAGATGGTTGCCCCAAATCTGCAGGTAAGAATTTTTAGCATTGACAGATATGTTAATTGGGATGGGTCAAGGGCCCTCAGTTACCTAGTTTCAATCCCTTTTACTGATGGAAAATAAAATTCATCAGAGCTGGAGTTGGTGCTGTAATTACATCTAGAACCCCCCAGTTTGATCTAAGTGAATGTCAAGAATTACTCTAGTGTTCTTGGGTGCCATTTGGCTTTATGTTCTGAAAGCAGCAAGACAATTTAACCTTAGAAATACCGTCCCAATAATTATAAGTCTTGGGCTCTGTTTCTGATCCTTTGCTGTGAAACTTGTCTACATTTTCTTTTTAGTGCTGGAGATTGAATCTAGGGTCTTATACTAATAAGCATACTAAGAACATGTTCTGCTATTGAGCTACAACCCCCACTACTAAGCAACATCTGTCTCGATTTTCTTTTGAAAACCATTCTGGAACTATTTTCCATTTAAGGCTACAATGCCCATTAAATACGTCCATCAGTGGCCCTTCCATATTTCCCAGAATACTCTACATGATGGGATCCCCCTAGTCCCTATGCCATAATTCTCCACATTGAGCAATGAGCTCCAGGGAGAATTATGAATTGTTAGTGGAAGAGTTTCTGTATCTCTACTATGTGTCATACCATATTGGGTGCTCTCTATACATTTATCTCCTTTGAATTCTCCCGGTAGTTCTGTAGGGTGCAGGTGTTAGCTCTATTTTATGTGTCAAAAAGTGAAGCTAAGTAAGGTCATTTAGAGCTACGTAGCTAGAGTAGCAGAAGCAGGATTCAAGTGCCTGAGGTATAACTGCAAGGTCCATGTTTTTTTTCACCACAAGGAAATTGAGGAATTGTATTCAACTGTTTCATCTAATAGAGGAGGAATTTTGGCTTACAAACCTTTGTTAGAAGCTCATCTGCTAAATGGCAGTTACTACTGAAACTCAGGACTCCTTTGTTCTGTCATACTGTGATTCCTTGGAAGAGCAGAGAAAATAAGATTGGAGGTATTGTAGGTGCTGGCACAAATCAACATACCCCTGGTTTATCTGTATTTTCACTTGGGTATAAGGTTGAATTTTTTGATCCAGGCAAAGCCAACGTAACACTGAGCAGCTGGGGTTGCTAGTTGGTGTCTGTATTTGTACAGTGTGTGTTGTCAGCAGCAGTCATTTGGGGAAGTAGAACTTTGTTATCCAGAGTGTCTGGGACTCAAGTTCATTGGTAATTGCACCCCTTTGCTCTGCAGGTCTGGTTTCAAAGGGGAATTTTATAAACCCATTAAAAAGCACTTTGGTACAGGTTTTCTTTAAAGATACACCCCTAGTTCTCCCAAATGCCACATCTTCACATAATTGAGACAGTTGGGCTGGGCCTTGGAATCTGGCCTGTTTTGTTCAACTCTAAGGAAAAGGGATAAATGAATGGTGAAGTATTAATAAAAGTGACTTTATGTAAGGCAAAGATAGGACTTAGGTGGTTGGGGAGTAGGGATGGGAAAAAATGTTAGAGAGGTTTCCTTGTCTTAGAATAAGCTGTTTGTTGGGGGTTGAACAGGTGGAGACATGGCATTTTTATTTTATTAGTCTTCTCTTTAAAAATCATCTTCTTTGGGTCCAGTGTATTTTTGCCTGAGACTGACAGTTATGGAAGTTCAGACAGCTTTCCCTTAAATAATTAACATACAACCTGGCACAGAGAGGGTTCTCAATTTTGGAATGAATAAACATAATTTTGGAGGGTAAATTAATGATGAACTCAATTTTTATTTTCTCTGATAAATGAAAGTCATTTAAGAGGATTTGAGATTTATAATATCACTAAGGTAAAAGATCAAAATCATTTAAGAAAGTTCCATTTTATTTTGGTATTTACATTTTTGTGATGTGAAATTTATCCATTAATATTACCACGCAATTAAAAACATCTTAATTCTTTATATTAAAATATGTGGTTTTTTAGTGTAATCATTGAAAATATACTGTGATTATTTAAACTTTATTAATCTTGAAATTTAATCTGTTTCCCTGAACTTTAATTGACAAGTTGTATTTGAATATATGTCATTGGGAATCAGGATCAAAAATGAGGTTCACAGTGTATAGTTTGTCTAAAGTATTTTGAAAGGAAACTAGAAATCGAACGTAGAGGAGAGAGTAGACTAGAGGATGACTCATTTTCCCTTTGGCATTCTCTAATAAGGCATTTGTTTTAATAAAAACTGGCCAAAGAGTCAAGCTGGTGCTATTTAACTCATTTCTTCAGAGTGTACCCCTCTACATGTTTTATGGATCTCGTAGGATGGCTGGAATACTAAAAAGGCTGCTGTGAAGGCCAGGCCTCAGGGGCAATCTGCTGTTTCCCCTCCACACTACAATTTAATTCCCTTGATGTCATTGCAGATGTGAACCCCAAGTACCAGTGTGATCTTGTGTCTAAAAACGGGAATGATGTCTATCGCTATCCCAGTCCACTGCATGCTGTGGCTGTGCAGAGCCCAATGTTTCTCCTTTGTCTGGCGGGCTCCCCACTGAGGGAAGAGGAGCGGCTTGAGAACCATGCCAGTGACATTTGTGTGGGATCAGAACTAGATGTCACCAAGACAGACAGTTCCTTACCATCCCCAAGCAGTCTGTGGCCTGCCTCCCAACCTTCATCCAGTAAGAAAATGGATGGCTACATTCTGAGCCTGGTCCAGAAAAAAACACATCCTGTAAGGACCAACAAACCCAGGACCAGTGTGAACGCAGACCCCACAAAAGGGCTCCTGAGGAATGGGAGCGTGTGTGTCAGGGTTGCTGGCTCCCAGGTTAGCAGTGTGAACCTGAAGAATTCGAAGCTGGTGTGTTTGCCCTCTGGCGGAATGCCCTCTCTGGACAGCGGGTCCTTCTCCCCGCTGAAGCAGCGGGCAAAGGAATTAAAAGCAGAACTGGAAGGCAAGAGGCTGCTAGTTCCCGAGGGCTGCTTGGTAGGGGCCCCCTCTGAGCTCCCAAGCAAGCATCTGCCCAAAAATGCTAAGGTAGCCTCCCAGGAACAGGCTCGGCCTGCCGCTGCGGGGGCAGGAGAGGCCCCTAAAGAAAGTGAGCAGACCTCAGCCGCCTCTCCAAAAGAGAGCCCAGGCCGGACCCCTGGACCCCTGAAAGAGCACAAAGCTGTGCAGCCCCTAAAAAAGATGGCTCAGAAAAGCAGCCTACAGCCCGCCCCAGCTCCTGTTCCTCCCCCATTGCTGCCTGTGGCCTTTGCTGGGGAGGAGAGGCCAGCCTTGGACTTCAAAAGTGAGGGTTCTTCACAAAGCCTTGAGGAAGGACACCTGGTCAAAGCGCAGTTCATCCCAGCCCAGCCGCCGAGCAGCAGGCTTCACCGAGGACACAGGAATGCGGGCGGCTTGCGGAGCTCCACTCTGAGGCACCGCGGTCAGGCTCTCCAGGGACTGGACAGCGGCTTGCCCACGGTCAGGGAGAAAACCCGGGCGGCTGGCAAGAAGTGTCGCTTCCCCGAGGACTTGGATACAAATAAGAAACTCAAGAGAGCCTCTGGCAGGGGCCGGAAGGGCGGGGGCGGGGCCCCCGAGGTTCTTTCCGGCAGGCCCTTGGGCGCCAGTGGCCATAGGGCGGGAAATAAGGCTCAGGGCCATGGACGGGAGGCTGTGGTGGCCAAACCTAAGCACAAACGAACCGATTACCGGCGTTGGAAGTCCTCCGCCGAGATCTCTTACGAAGAAGCCCTGAGGAGGACCCGTAGGGGTCGCCGAGAGCACGTAGGTGTGTACCCTGTACCTGTGCCCTATGCCAGTCCCTATGCTTACGTAGCCAGTGACTCAGAGTACTCGGCTGAGTGTGAGTCCCTCTTCCACTCCACGGTGGTGGACACCAGTGAGGACGAACAGAGCAACTACACCACTAACTGCTTCGGTGACAGTGAGTCCAGTGTGAGTGAGGGTGAGTTCGTGGGCGAGAGCACCACTACCAGCGATTCGGAAGAGAGTGGGGGCTTGATTTGGTCCCCGTTTGTCCAGACTCTCCCAATTCAAACGGTTGCGACCCCAAACCCTACAAAAACCTTTGTCAAAATTAAGGCTTCACACACCCTCAAGAAGAAAATCCTCCGCTTTCGGTCTGGCTCTTTGAAACTGATGACGACAGTATGAGTATCATTGGTGTGCAAAGTGTCTTTCCCCTTAGTTTCTGAAAAAAGGAAAAAAAAGTGATGTCTTAGTTTTTGTGTAACTCTTTCATGAAATGCTATCAAGGTAAAACCAAGGTAAATTATGTTTCTATGTATAGACACTAGTGCCTTTAATGGAAGGTAAAGGATGTATTGCTAGTTAGAAGTAAATATTGAGATTGTAATGGTGATAGTGAAAGAATTTTGTGCTCAGCTGATTTTTATTTTACATTTTTGGAGCATCTGGTAAGGTACAGGTTTCGATCCTCAAGTTTTAATGGGATGAGACATTTTGTTCCAAGGTCAGGTGGATGGAACTTCTAGGACATAACATTTGCTCTTGATTCTTCAGGGCAGTGTGCAAGGGCTTTCCTGTTGAGGGGCATTACATACAGCTGTGTGAAATAGGTACTCGAGGCAGTCATTGTTTTCTACGCCTTTTTATACTATAGTTTACATTTCTCACCTCTTTCTCAAATCTGTTTTCTTAGAATTGTTCTGTTAACTGGACTCATAACTTGTAGATCAGATCCTAAATCCAGAGATAGAATTTGGGCAGAAGCACTGGTATTACCTTCAAGGGATTTACAAAACCTTTTGCCACACTGGGTGCCTAGGCCCTGGTTACAGTAACCTTTTCTTGGGCTGTGTATCCAGCATTTTGGTGCCTTTCTATCCTTCCCTAATTTGTAGCAAATACAATAATTTGTCCCTTGGAGAACTTGCCTTTGGGATAAAATTTTGGTACTCTGGTACAGAGAAATTCAGTCTACATGAAATAACTTTTGGGCATGATTCCAAGCCCAGAATTGCTCACTGAACACTGTGCAACCTAAGCACACTGACCTTATCTGGAAGGGCTTTAAACATTTTTGGGGGGTAAACAGTATTGTGTAAAATTGCTCTTTTTATATCATTATATGCATGTTTTGTGCATGAGTAGTATTTGTTTTGATATTCCTGTTAAATTGCTGTATGATATAAGTGGTATGTGTTTTTATATATATCATTGTGTAAATTTAATATAACACATTATATGCTGTAATAAACAATTTGTTTTACTGCTGTTAAGTTTATTATTTGGGTATAAAACCAGATGTTTACACCTTGTGCTGATTATTGGTGTTATTATTTGTGAGATTTATATTAGATCCAGCATTAGGATGTTATTTGCAATTATTAAGAAAAGTTTTGGGCCAGGGATTTAGCTCAGTGGTTTCGCCACCTGCTACGCAATTGCAAGGATCCGAGTTTGATCCCCGGTACCAAAAAAAAAAAAAGAAAAGTTTTGGTGTTCTTGGAATGGATAGTAAACTAGTTTGGAAAAGCAAACCACTTATTTAGAATGGTAAGTTATATTAAAATTTAAGGTAAACTTGATAGATGTCTTTTAAGGGAGGCATTTCTTTTATTTTTGGTACCAGGGATCGCGGGACCTTGCGCTTGGAAGGCAGGCGGCAGAACCACTGAGCTAAATCCCCGGCCCCTAGGAAGGCATTTCTAAGAAGAATCTCCAGTTTCTTATTATAAAACGTTAAAAAAAATGGATTAGTTGAAATGATGGTACAATAAATACTTGCATAGCCACTGCCTAGATTCAACAGTCATTAACATTTTGCCTTATTTGCTTTAATTGTATGTGTGTATTATGATAAACCGTGCTATTTCATAGGTCAAAGATAGATGCAGTCTTCCCCTCTCCCTACTGCACTCTTCCACATTATTTTAAATTTTAGGTGTAACATTTTATCGCTCAAAGCTTAAGCATGCATTTCCTAGGAGCAAGAAGATTCTGTGATACCACAATATTCTGATCACTCCTAAGAAAATTAATAATTCTTAAGACCAAATATTTATATTCAATTTTTCCAGTAACAAGAATTTTTGTTGTTGAAGTACTGTTGATTGAATCCAGGGCCTGTCACATGGTAGGCAAGCATTCTGCCATTAAGCTGCAGTCCACCTCTTTTTAAAAATTTTGAGATCTCCCTGGTTACCCAGACTGGCCTCAAACTTAACAATTTTGCCTCAGGCCCCTGGATAGCTGGGATGACGGATGAGTACAACTTCACCCAGTAGTTTTAAGCATTATTAAATAGCTTCCCATCTTCCCCCACCCTCAACTAGTATTCAGTCAGTGTTAGCCATTGCAGATCATTAGGTTGTAGGTTTCTAGTCTTTGTAGTCTACAATATTCCCACTTTCAAAAAAAATGGTGCTGGACTTTTTTTTGGGGGGGGGTAGGAAAGTGGCCTTCTAGAAAGGGACCACTCTCTGGCTTTGGTTCTTTCTTTATATTGTGTTTTAACATCTTTTAGCCCCATCATTTCCTGTAGCAGTGTAACTTGGTTGGATTCAGGTTAACATTCCTGGCAAGATTTCACTAGGGATGTTGTGTGCTTCTTTGTGTCACTTGGAGAAATATATCAGGTTGCCCTACTATTATTGAATTTAAGAGTCATCCATTGGTTAAGTTGGTGAACATAAATGTCTAATATAAAAGGTTTTTTTTTTGCAAATGCTTGTATTTGTGGGACATTTTTTAGTATTTATGGATATACTATTCCTCAAACTCCACTTAATGGCTTTAGTTTACATTGTTGACTCTTGCCTGAATTGGTTACTGCTTTGGGGATACAGAATGATACTTTTCTAAGTATCATTCTTTCTATTTTTTTTCACCGATACTCTAAAAAAAGCTTTCCTTATTTTTCTGCCTTTTTGATGTCATGATGCACTCCTGGTTTTTATTTTATTTACCAAATAAAAACATATGTCTTTGTTCCTTTTGATGCTTGACACTTCCCAAAATTTGGCCAATGGGATGATAAATTTTATTAAAGGGAAATTATAGAATCATCCAAATCCAAATCATCCAAATATTTGTGACATATATCCAACTAATTTTTCAAATACTAGATAATCAGGTGCTAAATTTTAATGCACCAAAAATCCTTTATCTGTTTCTTTATTCTGTCTTAGAAGTGTACTTTTTCCCAATACTTTGTATAGCTCATCTCTAGGAAGCCTTTCTTTCATTTTTGGGTCACAGCAAATTATTTCCTTGTGGCTTATAAAGGGCATATCTCAGCAAGACTTTTTTTTTTTGTAAGACATTTCAGATAACTTCAAAATGTTATAGAGTTGCTAGTTTTAATACTCATGTTATATGCAACTAGTAATTTCTCTTTGACTAGAATTTCTTTGATTACTTGACTAAATCTGAGCCTAGTAGAAGGGATGGGATGATCTCATCATTTCTAATGCTGTGATCCAATCTCTTTGAGGCATGGCTATAAAGTTTATTGTGTAAAGCATCTGTGACCTGCAGTCAGTTTTTGAATCATTTCCAAGTTGTTCTCAATGAGCATTATTCTTGGAAGTGGACACTTTCTGAAAATCAGCTTATGTGCAATTACATTTTAAGTGACAATGTCAAAATAAGAGAAGTGTGAAAAACAGGATTTTCAAGGAACCCTGGTTTTATCCTAGTCCATTGCTTGACTTCCCTGCAGCTAGCAGTTGTACTTTACTTGGGAAAATGGGGTTTTTTTGTTCATTATTTTCAATGAAAAAATAGCTGCTATTGTTATAAACAAAAGGCCTCTTTAAGGTATTTTCTTTGTTCTTAAAAATTACAAATGCTTATTGTCAAAAGAAAAAAATGTACCCAGACAATGCACAAATTAACACCCCCCCCAAAAAAAAACCCTCCCTTAATCTTCCCCAAATCCTACTCCAGTAAGTTCGGTGTATTTCCATACTCTACTATATGAACATGGACATATTTTGCACTTTTTCTTTAAAATGAAACCTCAATTTATATGTATTATTTTATAAATTGCATCTTTCATTTCATGAGCCTGTATGGCAGATATTCCCTATTTTAAAAATGGGGTCCTAAATATTTCTTTGCTGAGGAAAAAGCCAGTAGATTTCATAGGTGAATTAAGTTTGTTCTGCTTAGAAATATTCTTATAGCCACAAAGTGTTACCCAAATGTTAACACATATTTTCACATATACTGTCTAGTTTTCTTATGTATTTTTTGTTGTGAGCTCACTTTCAGTGAGGTATTACACAGAGAAATTTTGTATTCTTTTTAAATTTTTAAATTAATTTATCTGCTTAGGAGTTCCCTGACTATACAGATAAATTCAAATTCTAAATCTATGTGAGGGCAGGCTGAGGTTTTGTGTTCTCAGAGGAGACCTTTCCTAAGGCAATCTCCTTTATTTTCACCCTGGCCCAGTAAGTGAACCTCCCCCTCTAACCCTTCACTATGGGTGTAGTCCTTCAGAGACCTAAGGACTGTAGGAAAGCCTCAGTCCTAAATCCTACCCTATGAGGCCTGAGTTCTAGTTCCTGAATGATGCAAAACCAAAGCCCATTGCTTATGGGACCAGCAACCTATTCTGCTTTCAAGGGTAGCACCAGGTATATACTTAATAGGATGTTTACTATAGTTTATCCATCATTTCTAAAGGCTTCACAGTGATAACAGGTTTTCTTGTCCACTCTGGCTGGAAACAAACTACAGAACAACCCATTGCTTTTACCAATAAATTGGATCCTTTGTCCCCTCCCCTTTTTTGTACTTCAGTGAAGTAAAATTGAAGTACAATAAAATGCACATGTTTGAAGAATAGAATTTGATCAGTTTTGACGTATGTTTTGACATTTATGTAACTGACACAATCAATATAAAAACATTTCCATTACTCTCATTAGTTTCTTTGAAACCCTTTATAATCCCTGTCTTCTACACTGTTCACCAGACAACTAAAGATATGCTTTCTGTCACTATAGATTATATTTCCTAGAATTCTGTATAAATGAAATTAAAAAGTGCGTACTCTTGCCTGAATTTTTCTGTTCATAATAATGTTCAGATCTATCCATGTTGTTTCATGTTTCAATAGTTTATTCCTTTTTATTGTTGAATTGTAATCCTTTTCCGGATATACAGTTTTTTTGTTTGTTGTGGATTATTTGGGTTATTTCTAGTTTAGGGCTGTTACAAATAAAGCTACTGTGAACATTCACATGCAGGCCTTGTGGTGGCCAATTGTCTTTGTTTCCTTGGGTAAATACTTATCACTGGAATACCTGGGTCTTATCATAGGTGAATGTTTTAAATTATTTAAAAACTGCAGAAATGTTCCAAACTGATTGTACCACTTTACACACTACCAGCAGTGTTTGAAAGTTTTAGTTGTCCTACAACCTTGTCAGAACTCAGCATGCTCAGTCTTTTTTTTTTTTTGGTACTGGGGATCGAACTCGGGACCTTGCGCTTGCAAGGCATGCAGCAGCACCAAATGAGCTAAATCCCTGACCCACGGTTGGTCTTTGTAACTTTAGCCAATCTAATGAATGAGTAGTGGTATTTCCTTGATGACTAACGATATTGAGCATTTTTTTTCATGTACTTACTGTCCATCTGTGTATCTCCTTAGTTGAAGTGTCTGTTAAGATATTTTGTCCATTAAAAAAATTGGGTTGTAGGGGTGGGGATTTAGCTCAGTGGTGCCTCCACCTGCCTTGTAAGCACAAGGTCCTGAGTTTGATCCCTGTACCAAAAAAAAAAAAAAAAAATTGGGGTTGTTTGGCTTCTTATTAAATTGTAGGAGTACTTTATAAATTTTCTGTAAAAGTCCTCTGATATATGTTATGAATATTTTTTCCCAGTCTATAGTTTGCATTTCTTTTTTTGGTACCGGGGATCGAACCGGGGTCCTTGGGCTTGCAGGGTCAGGCGAAGGAACCACTGAGCTAAATCCCCAGCCCTACATTTTACTTTTTTAATGATGCATTATGAAGAAGAACATTTTAAATTTTGGTCATGACCCAATTTTCAATTTTTTCTTCTTTTTTTTTTTCTTAAATTCTTTTATTGGTACATTTTAGGTATACAACACATTTACATTTCTCATTGGGAATTGTACCTTTACATGATGTATTGTGGTTCTTATTTTTTCCCCATTCCCTGCACTCCCTTCACCCCTCCACCCGTCCCTATTTACAAAGACTTTGTTTCCTTTTTTTCCATTTCTCATAATTTTTCCTTTCCCTTCTTTCCTTTCCCCTATCCCTCCCACTTCCCCTACTCCTTTGGACCTTTTCTTCCAATTTCACATTATCAATAATTCATTTTAATCGTTGGTACATTTTAGGTATACAATATAGTGACATTTATAATTGGAAATTTGCACCTTTACATATTCTTTCTTCATTCTTATTTTTCCTACTTCCCCTGCCCTCCCTTCAACCCCTCCATCCCTCCCTATTTACAAAGACTTTGTTTCCATTTTTCCATTTTCTCATATTAATTCTATTCCCTTCTTTCCTTTCCCCT